ATTAATTTAGAAATGTTGATATCAAAATCATGTAATATTAGAAGTCATATCCTATATCAATGTCAATATTTACAAGTATAGATTATACAAAACAAAAGTTTGCAGAATGTCAAGCAATAAACAGTTTCACCATTATTATATTCCAATGCTATGTTTATCGAAGTGTGGACCAGACCACTTCCTAATTATAGAGGTTTCCAGTTTATAGCAGTTGATGCATCTTGACATTCAGAATATAATGTAGAAGGTAACTATTATATGTTGTTATTAGTGTTTCAATGTATTCAAATGATTTAATAAATGTGACCTGTCCTATGTCGTCTTTCACTTAAATAATTAGGCTTATAGATGATAAATGTAGTTCCATACTTTAGCGGATAAAACAACACCTTTTGAATGTTCGTCAATAAGCTTGATCATTATAACAGATAAAATCGCCTATGTAAACGGCTATTCATATTTTTCAAATGTTTAGTCTAAATCAAAACGTGACTTTGTCGAATAAATGCACGTGCTAAACACTTGAACAGCTGTTTTCGGTCACTTCTAAATACATCGAAAATATATATAGTAGGCATATTCCGACAACAGTGTTTCCACTTGGTGGATGTAATTGTATATTATAACCCTAACACTGTGTTGTAGAATAAGTTACTGTTCTTTTAAACTTATACCAAGTCTCGTTCTGATATATCTGATGAAAATAAAGAATAATAGAAGAAAAACAAACTGAAAAAAACTCTCACGAAGAGATGCCGTAAACGTGGAATTTTACGCGTGGAAGTAATGTACACTAAATCGAGTTAATTTTATCTACTGGTATGAATTGATGACATATTACGTACACATTAAACTATTATTTGTATATGTGAAGGTACATGAATGGCGAAAATAAAACTGTATGTATAATATATGATTCAGTAACATGGTACTGAAACACCATTAAACCTATATATCCTCTAGTTTCTCTTTATAGGTTATAACGTTGTTTTCATGGAGTTTGCGTTGTACGTAACGGCGCCACACACTAAAGACCCATTTTTCCTCTCAGAATAAGCATAATACATAAGACTAGGCAAGGCCGGATGGTAGGAATAAATTCATGACTGTAATAAACATTAAGGGCATTTTCTCTATAGGTTTTTAGTTAGAATATAATCTTGAAAAGAAATGTTTAGAAATGCTCTATCGAAGTCAGTAATACGATCAGAGAATGGAAAATATTTAGAACTTGACATTTTACAGTAAAAGGCGACACCACATAACGGTAATGATTTCTAAGGAGAAATTTACTATTTTATTCAAACGTTATCTAGCTTTTGAATGACTTGGATTACCTTGGATAAATACACTGAATGTATTAGTATATGTGAAGATGCTGACTTGATTACAACATTTGAATAATTTGAATCCATTCGTGGAATAAGTCTAACGTTGTCTTTATGAAACTGACATTGAATTTGAGAAGCGCTTTATGAATATAAACGAAGCCTGTAAAACACAGAGTTTTAGTTATAAATTATTTCATTTATGAATATTTCGCTTCTTTTAACACCCAAATAAGATATAACAGATGCTTATTACATGTTTCTCCTACATTCACCAGGACAGCTCTTAATTCTATTTAGCCATCAGTATTTACACTGTAGAACCATACAAGTGTCCATACAATGCATGTTACAACTTCGTACATTATATTGACATGTAGGTATTTGTCGTGTTGTTTCGTTAAAACAGAAATGCATATTATTACGTTATTGAAGAGAACATTCTGCATAGCGGTTAAATTCATGGAGTTTAAAGTTCGCTCAAATTTGTGGATTTAAAACGTTAAAACAAATGTTATTGAATCTAGATGTTCTGGTTTTTTACGACATTCGCCCTCAGAAACCATTGCAGTCCCTACTTGCATGTAATACATATACATTTGATCATCTCAGTAGATCTGATCAATGCACTGTACCACGTAATCAAACAAAACTTACTCGGTCCTATGTTAATGATACATGACTACATTGACATAAAATAAAGTCAAATTTCTTTCTTTAGTTTGGTATACATGTTTCCTTCGTTCTATTTTTACGGTTCATCGTGAGTCATAATAGTACTACCTGTTATGTATTAAATATTTATGCGTAGTTCTTCACGAAGTGACATGTTTACAAAAAGTCACGCATTGTGTTTCGCCTTTCAGGCACAAAAGTCGAGGCATTCAATTGGTGTGTTTACAGCAGATACAAAATAAGTGTTATATAAGGCAGTGGCGTTATTTAATGACAAATCCACGTCTAATCGAAATAAAATCAAATTTTAACTATATAATCAAAGGTATCAACGATATATTGAAAAGATATAGGGAATATACTGTAGTAATTAGTTGTGAGAGATTTAATTAGTTTGAAAACGACATGGCCTTGGGGATTTTCAAGGTTAACCCTATGTTGTTGTCCTTGTGTTTGGTCAACCATGTCCAGATACAGGTAAGTACACATACGTCACAGTGTCCACTTATCTGTTTGTAAATAAGACCACATGGTCGATTGTCATAAACAGTATGATTCATAGAAACACAATAGTTGTCCGTGAGTGTGTAATTATGAAGATAGGTCATAAAATTGTAAGAAAAAAATAGTCTCCAAATGTAGATTTGACCTGCATAGCATGTATGTTTTCATCCTCTAAAATTGCCCAATATTGAAAATTATTTACTTTCTGTTTGATTTGTACTTTGGCTGTTCCACTTTTTTGTGTACATTTATTGTGTCCTATTAAAGTTTTTGCCCACTACCAAGTTTCAATCTTTAAAGCCCTCAGTATCATTGGTGTGTAATAGAAACACGAATCAACTGTATGATTCCTTATATAATTTATTATTAAGCTCTACTACATCTAACATTAGATTTGTGCTTAATGATACCATTCACTATGTCATGAAAACCCGAGAGGCTGCTTAGAAATAACAGTTTTAATTATATATATTTATAACAAATATGTGGTCACAGTTTTAATCATATATGTTCATAATAAATATGTTGTCACAGTTTTAATTATATAAATTATATATGTGGTCACAGTTTTAATCATACATCATTATTATAAATATGTTGTCACAGTTTTAATTATATAACGTTATTATAAATATGTGGTCACAGTTTTAATTATATAAATTATATATCACAGTTTTAATCATACATCATTATTATAAATATGTTGTCACAGTTTTAATCATACATCATTATTATAAATATGTTGTCACACTTTTAATTATATAACGTTATTATAAATATGTGGTCACAGTTATATAATTATATAAATATCACAGTTTTAATTATATAACGTTATTATAAATATGTTGTCACAGTTTTAATCATACATCATTATTATAAATATGTTGTCACACTTTTAATTATATAACGTTATTATAAATATGTTGTCACAGTTTTAATTATATATCGTTATTATAAATATGTTGTCAGAGGTTTAATTATATATTTTTATAATGAATGTGTTGTCACATTTTTTATTATACATTGTTCTGACATATAGGAGGTCAGGGTTTCCATGTACTTAACACTTAATCTCTATAAAGAATAGCATATAGACAAAGGTTATAAAGATTTATACCATAACTTGTAATATAAAGGAATGTTAATGTCTATAGATATAATATTATAAAATATCTTGTTATTTCAAAATTTATCGTGATATACAGAGAAATTATTGACTAATAAATACACACATTTAGTAAAACATCATTTGTGTAAGAGAAAGGTCAAGGGTCTTCGGGAATCGTAACAGATACACCAGTTGTTTATTTCCATGTGTTTCCCAACCGGATACACTCGGCAGATTTACAGAATAATACTCGATTAGTAAACATGACTCACGTTGAACTATCATCCAAACACTTTTGCTTCCAGGCATTCTCTACAAGTATTTAAATGCCTGTAAATAGACAGCACCCGTCAATACAAGATATACCTTTAGACAGCCGATACTAAACAGCCGGCGAATACTCCACAAACGTCTTTATAGCTGAACAACTGCATCGACAAGCAATATACATACATTTTAGTAGGTGAGTAGATATTTTTCCTTTATTTTCGGTACTTTTTTTTTCTAAACATTTTACCTAAAGTTTTCTTTACATCTATTTTTTGCAGGCGATTATGCCCTCTTTTAATTTGCTGATACTTGATAACAAGTGGTTGGTAAAAATGTGTAGGAATTGTTTTAAAGAGTTACATGTAGATGAGTGTAGTACCCCTGGGTATACACCTTATATGTTAATTCTTCGTCCCTTTCCGGACCACGTTGATTCGTCAACAGTGATGCTGTATTTTGCTTCGTTTTAGTATCAATATGACCTCTTCCTCAGGTGCCACTGTACGTAACTTTTATACATAATCTTTTGTTATATAAAAGTACTTCTTTTTTATTATCATTTTCTATATTTATCACCACTTCATACAGAAAAGCATGGTGTTACACTTACAAGCTGTGAATACCAATTTAGGAAAACCAAGAAAAAGAAAAGCTTGCCTTTGCTTTCAAATAAAAAGACATTTGATAAAACTGATGTAAAGATGGCTCTCTGTCATTAAATTGATATTATTTCAAAATGATATATATTATAAAAAAACTGTATCCTGAATATGACAGGCTTACAATTAATCAAAACAATAGGCCGACATGAGTAAAAATAAAATAGTTAAACTGACGGAAGAATGTATTTTAACCAACATTTCTGTAGGATTAGGTTATTTACTAGTCGGGTTCATTTCGCCTCACTGTTAGAAATCAGTGTTGTTTAACAAGAGAAGGTTTTGTCTTTTGTCTTCTTCAAGGAAATGTTCTTGTTCTTGTTATTCTCGTCTTGTTTTCGCGGGTACTTCGATGTATACCAAATTGTAATAACAACTGATTGTGGAATAGAATATCACACAATGATAAAATGGCATACAAAATACGCATGGAATATTTTTCTTTCTCATACAGTGATGGTGTTCGGCGTTCTCCTCCTTTTGACTGTCATTATAGATGTGGCAGTCTCCATTCAGGAGGCTACTATTACAAATGCTATTCCAAGAGGACTTCGGTTTAAAGTACCAGGTAAAACTATCTTGATGCGTCTTCCAAGTTTCCATTCAGCTTCAATATATGTTAGCCATCTTTAAATCTTTAGTTTGGGGCCAGTACGATATAGGAAACATGTTAAGACAGACACATAAAATTGCAGAAATCCTTATATGAACTGCAAGTTAGGATGCGGACAAACGCTACTGACAAACTGTTACCATATTTATTACCCTCACACAGTGGTACAGACATTAAAAGAGAATTCCTAAATAACAACTGGCGAGCAGAACAATAACACAGTCAATAAAACTCACTGTCCGTTTTTTATTGGCGTCAAATACACACGAAGATCCATTTTGTCGAACAGACATTACAAAGTAAGCATGGGAAGATAATTAGCCGCAGATATAAAGGTTCACAAATGATTATATGTATTCACTGAATTTGTATGGAGTACGGACATAAATAAAATATACAATGTATATATGCTAAAAAATCGGATTTATTTAATAAGAAAGATAAGAGAAAAATGGAAATCTGATGAAAAGCAACACATGAAAATGTGTATGTATGTTTATTGTTGTTTAACAATATTATATAATTAATTTCTTTTTTGGAAGTGCCCTACCCGGTTAATTTCCAAAGATGTCTACTATTTCAAGAAGGACCCACACACAAACAAAACCACATAATATTAAATGTTGATTATTTGTTATACAAGTTATGACTACGCACACCGCTAAGGTAAAGTATTGATGATATGTGATATATACAGATAACTCACAATTTTCGTTTTAGATGAAGGGTTCACATTGGTAGCCTTACACTTCAGCATCAACAAACCAGTACCAGGTACTCAGGCGGGCGATGTCAACGTGGACATTAACTCTCCAACAAGTATGTACAATCATACTGTATGTTGATTCCTATCGACTATAACCCATCTATTTTTATCTATAAAGATAATGAAATATTCAATACTAGTCAATACATAATGATGTACTAGTGTATGTAACGATATAGAATACACATGCTCTATACTTGCAGACGGATTTTTCGTGTATACAAACACAGGATTTACTGTGAATCCTGGAGATGTGGTGAACTATTGGGTTTATGGTCTAAAGAATGGAAATGGGGAACAGAAACTAGATCTCTCCTATACAGTACCAGGTAAATTTTTTTATGTTTTTACGTAACAAGAAATAAGCGATTTTATGTTAAATTATTTTCATTCTAGCATTCCCATTCAAAATAATTGAATATGAACATTTATCCGTAACGAATGTAAACAGGAACAGGCACGGGAACGGGCAATGGCACAGGAACAGGTACCGGAACAGGGACCGGGACAGGCACGGGAACAGGAAATGGCACAGGAAATGGCACAGGAACAGGTACCGGGACAGGAAATGGCACAGGATCAGGAAACGACACAGGATCAGGAACAGGAAGTGGAACAGGCACCGGAACAGGAAGTAGGTTAACAAATTTTGTGAGATTCTGGATTTCTTTTTAGTCAGTGTTAACTAATGCATTAATTAGACCCTTTTCAATCTGATCGTCTAGTACATGAATTCTGATATTGTTTAACATATCAATGACCCTTTCGTTTGAGATACAGTTAACGAATCTTCTATCGGTATGGATATCTTTTTATCACACATTGCTTTTTCGAAAAATAGCATTTCTCTTCTACATGCGTCGACATTTTTCATTTTGTAATGTTTATCAAATCCTTAGTTTTGTCGATTTCGATACTTTTGTAGATTACATATTCCATTATTTGTTTTTCCCGTTATCAACTAATATGAATTAGACAGTTTTTGTTTTAATGATGACGTTCATGTGATCACAGGGGTGTAAATCATTATTCAGTCTTTAATAATATTCAATGTTCTCCAGGTAGGACTTGCACGCCAACACAGCCCTGTTTGGTACTGGAAGACAACTTTGACACTCTTGACCACGAAGTGTGGGAACACGAGGTCACCGCAGGAGGAGGTGGGGTATGTTGTTTTCCACATCTTTATATAAAGCCACGGTAAAAAATAATAATACGATTGCTATGCCTTCACACAATGCTACATACGCACTGCCCATAGCATGGTAGGTAGGATGTCAAAGTTGCTCACATGTATTTCTTCATTCAAATCATCTCTGATTAAACTCGGTCTTTCATGTTCTGGTTTATGTCTAATTAAGGAGTATTACGTATGATTAGTCTGTATATACGTACATGTATATATTCCTTCACACAATATATCATTGTTTCTATATTTTCGATGCCGTTGTGACATACATCGAACTTTCAAAATGAAATGTTGTAAACGTTGTATTCGCTTGTGCATTTCCGTTGTAATTCTTATAATACTTTATTGATGAGAAGAAATCTTCTTTATCATCTGTTGTTAGATACTTTACACTGTTTTGTTTTACTCTTTACTATGACAGAATTGGGAGTTTCAGTACTACCATAACAACAGGTCCAATAGCTACGTCAGAAACGGAGTACTCTACATTAAGCCAGTAAGTGATATCATACAAATAGTTTTACCAATATCAATGGAAGATATTTCAAACTCTTGACTTTTTGTTTTTGTCCCACAAACTCATCATTTCTGTATCGATTTTAATTTGAGTTTGTTTTAATCAGAGTTTAATCAATTTCGTTGTTAGCGTTCGACAAGCTTACATACAAACCACAACGTAAACTCCCGTAATATAGGAAGTTTTATTTAATTTCTGTTACTTTCTGCTTTTCAGACGTTAACTTCAGACCGGTTTGGAGAGAGTTTCCTGACTTCTGGGACTCTAGATCTTTGGGGTAGGTTCTCTGACAAAACGGAAGTATTATTGCGTCATGCATATCACGTAGTTGATAAACCTGAAATCCTGGCGACGCTAGACCTAATAACTAACAGAGTTAACAGTAAAATCTTAAATATTGGAATGCTTTGGGGACGTTACTACTTTTGTTGATGTCGACAAAGATGATATAGCATTCCAGACGTAGCGTTTTCCTTGGCGAATGTTGGAATCAAACGTACTGATTATCAACAAAAAGATATTTAGCATAATATCAGAATTGAAATGATGAGGAATATTCTACAAGTATCAATATGTTAACAGTTCTGAGGTAATAAAACTAGACTTCCTGAATGATGCCTTTGTATAGCTTACTTTCCATTGTTATGCCGACAATTGCAAACACATTATGTTATTTGTGACATTGTTCATTCACTTTATATTGTGAAATATATCTCTAAGGTCAGAAATCTCCTTGTTTTTTAAAGGAAAACCAAGCATTGTGTTACCACATAGTGTAGTGGATATATGGAATCCGTGAAATGTACTTCTAATTTTTGGGGAAAAAAAATCTTGTTAATCACTTTATGTATGACCGAAATTCAGCGAAAACACAACCGGCAGATTTTTCAGATAAACTATATGTAAAACTTTATGCCCAAAATCGCTCTAGCAAAACTCAAGATTTCTTCATAGTGGAAGAAAGTATCTTACTTTTAAATTCGTCATTGTGATCTCATTGAGAGGTATTCTTTTTCTTTGTGCGACATGAGGCTGGGCGTGCTTGATGGTCATTAGTTTGCCAATTGGTTCTGTTGTTGTCTCATTTGAGGACTCGGCATTCCCCACTTAGATTGACCAAGAAGCAGAAGGCGCTTACTCTTCCGGAACACCTAGTCTTCTCCTTTGCAGGAGTCTCAGCGTTAATTTTTCTATTTGTTCATATTTTGTCCTAATTTTATTGAAAGTGATTTTGGAGTATGATTATTTTATCATGTTGGTATTTTCTTGCAGGTCAATGTACTAATAATGCTTGGTATGGATGTAGTCGTACCGGATCCCCCAACAATATCATCAATCCAATACAGTCAGCCAGACTCCGCAGCTCTAGGGGCTTTAACTTCAAGTATGGCAAGGTCGAAGTCAGGGCCATGATGCCCGTTGGTGATTGGATATGGCCTGGTAAGTGTATAAAACAAGATAAAACATCACAAAGGAAACATGTAGGTTTATATTAACATTTGTCGAGTAATTACATATACAGGTATGTGTGTTTGTGCATCAGTGTATGCTCTGTTACAGCCAAAACCTTTTTATGTTCAATATCTTGAAATAATTACGTGCCCACGTAATAATTACTGTCCTCCCAATGACTAAATATCCTGGGAATGATTAAGTGACCTCGCAATTATTAAGTGTCCTTGCAACAATTTTGTGTCCTCACAATTATTAAATGTCTTCGAAATTATCATACGTCCTCCTAATGACTAAATGTACTCACAACAATGAAGTGTCTTCGCAATAAATGATTGTGTTCTGGTTACAATCAAGTGTCTTCACAATGATTAAGTGTCTATACAATGGTAAGTGTACCCTATGTGAAACATTCTGGTTTCCAGTATCATTGTATCAGCGGTAGAGGTGTTTTATACCCAGTCATTAACAGAGTTGATATTGTTTCCTTCAGCGATATGGATGCTGCCAACAAGGAACGCGTATGGGACATGGCCTGCTTCCGGTGAAATTGATATCGTAGAGAGTCGAGGTAAGTTAATCCTTTAGTTTTGTTAGGACATGATAAACGTTTAGATTGCCCAGTTATCAAAACATGGACGGACAGAAAGCATCAATAGTGTGCAAAATTTGTTAGTTGACAAGTATCGACACACCCATGTATCATATATGCATGTTCATGACTTCCGTTACATTTCAAGACGAAATTTGAAATTCTACATTAAATGTGTAAGAACGCAATTTTTATTTTCGGTTTTTATAGCGTATCATACTTGGAATGAGTTCTTGTATTATTATTTTATATATCTGAATTATAATCTTATCTATGTTCTGTCTTTTACTTCAATGATATAACATTGTTCAGTTTGATGATGGTTTATTGTGTTCACGACACACAGAAAACGGTCGTCTATGATAGGAAATATCTTTACTCGCTTTACATGTTCCTGAATCGTTGAGTTTAATCTGTGATAGACAGGACATTACACATCGTGTATTGCGCACTTTGGGATAACATATCATGTGTAATCCATGTAGGACATACGCAATAGTTGTAATATCTTATGTTTAAATTGTTATAATTACATAGATTGTTAAGTTCTAAATATATTATAGCATGTCGTAATATGTATAAAAACGATGTCTGGAATAACAAACAAGCTATCGATCGTAATGTGATAGTATATATATAGTGTGATGATATATTTGACAGGTAATCGAAACTTAAGGAATTCTAGGGGTGATAGCAAAGGTGTGGACAGCTTCGGCAGTACTCTTCACTACGGGCCAAGTCCAGCTTACAACCGCTGGTACACAACACATGTTTCAAGGTCGGTTTCTTTTCCCTCAAATAATTATTTTATCTATGTGACTTTTTTACGTAATTTCTCAAAAGTAGTAAAAGATATTACTTTGGCTACGAACGAGCACCATTTTACAAATTATAATTTTATCTGGTTTACATTTACATATACCCTATATGAATTAATAAACGTTGCTGTGTATGAGTGAGCACTATACTGAACTAGTTCTGTAGAAGATGTATTTTTTCGAAACTGTCATTATTATTTTCTATGTTGACAGAACAATTAGCAATGGACACTTGGGTGATAATTTCCACACATACGGAATGGAATGGACAGCTGACCACATTAAGTATGTAAACTCCATGACATATAATTAGTCTTGTAACAATCAATTCCTTCACGACATGTGTCGATAAATTGCAACATAATTTTAGAAACCCAATATTTTTATGTCGACAGGTTTTACTTCGACGGCGTTGAAACATTAGATATTTCCCCGCAAGCTAATGGAGGGTTCTGGAAATACGGTAATCTCGACCAGACAGGCGTCGAGAACCCTTGGAGGGCCAATAGCAAGATGGCACCATTTGACCAGAAAGTAAGTGTACCGTTGACTTAAGAAGTTAATTTATTCTCTCTCTTCGCATTAAATTTGCTACGGGAACATTAACAATATGAAATATAGGATCCCGTTTAAAGACATGATATTATGACACAGTATGGTGATAGCATGTTTAACATAAAACACAGCACAGAGTCAACTCTCAAACCGAAATCACAATTATATGAAAAAGATGTCGTAAAAAAATTAACGAAGCCAAATTTAATTTATCAACGGTTTAGAACAAACAATGGACATTTAATTGTTGATGTATAATCCTATTTTTTTCTAGTTTCACTTGATCATGAATGTTGCCGTGGGAGGTGTGACTGGCTTCTTCACGGATGGCTCTATCAACTCTCCACATCCTAAACCGTGGATGAATTCGTCCCCTCGTGCCTCCCTAGATTTCTGGAACGCTAAAAATAACTGGTATCCAACCTGGAACCCCTACCAACGTAACGGTGAGGATGCAGCTATGAAAGTAGACTATGTTAAAGTGTGGCAATTAGACGGAACTGTGTAACGTCAGTTTGTCTGTGTGGACTATGTTAAAGTGTGGCAATTAGACGGAACTGTGTAGTGTCTGTATGTTTGTGTGGACTATGTTAAAGTGTGGCAATTAGAACTGTTTAGTCACCAATGTATGAAAACTATTTAGATTATGAATAAAAGATAAACTTTGATTGATCTTACTGGTTTTAAATATGAAGAAATAGGCTCGTCAAACTCACTGATATTCATGAGATGATGACGTTAAAATATTTATGACGTCATCAAAATTTAAGAGGCTGCAAGCATAAAAACAGGGGGTAGGAAGGGATGGAAATTTTTGTGTCTTTATTTTTTGACTCTGTATTCAATATTAGATGTTTAGGCAAAATAAAACTTAGTTTCTTTTCATTTGTAAAATAATATATATGCAGTTTAATGCACAAGTATGAAAATTTATGCTTTTTATTCGACAATTGCACTTGTTAAGTATTATTCAAAATAAATTCGTCAATCACCTTTACATTTGAACTGTGTTAGACTTTTTTACAACTTTACAGGCGCTTATTGTGATAGCCCCTCTGAGGTTCTCTTATACAGTAGCAAACTAAATATTATTGGGAAAAGGGTTGATCGATGACATTAGTTGCAGAATGATTTTTTCCCCATATTATCATTCCTTTAATTATAAGTATAGTAACCCCGCTGCTGAACCCTTCAACTTTCGAGCACGAATGCGTTTTTAATCATTATCAAAAAACCTTTAAAATTGCTTCTTCTTCGGTATTTTTTCCGTAAACTGAAAATATCGAGTCGGTTCTGTAAATCATGTGATATTTGCCGTTCACGAAGAATGTAAACCCAGTAATATCCAAAGACATCGAAAACGCTGATATCGTGCCATTTTGTAACATGACGACAAATATTATATAGAACTTACCGCTTCAGTTTTGCGATTCACGTGGGAACATAATGGTTATTTCATATCAATGCATACGGAACGATGTCATGTTTAATAACTGACCAGTGATAATGATCCCGGTCCCGTTAGTTTTAAGAATGCATCCGTGTACTGTTCTTTATAGTATATTCAAAGCAAATATGACGGATATGCAAATTTACCTGCCGTATGAGCTTTATCTTCCGTTACCTTTCCTTTGTTCTATATAGTATATCAGCAGTTTTGTTAGGGTGACATTTCCAGCAGAAAAGACTGGGGCTCCATGTGGAAGCAAGCCGTTAAATTTACTATTGCATGGCATTGCTACAGAGTACATTTACAAAAATTAGTTGTGCATTACCAGCTCATGAACGACCATCGACGTATTGCAAGTAATGAAAGTCACCCCTCTTTCAACAAGATGAAAATTAAGAAATAAGCACTGAGCCACGTATATTTGGCATCTCCGGGCTTTATGAATGTTAGATAGAGTCAAATTCAACATAGCTTATAACACAGCAAATAGAAGCGTATAATGTGACGTTCCGATGACAAAGCGCTCACTTTCATCAGACAAATAACCAGTGTGGAGCGCACTAGAATTGACAAATATAGTGAGTGTACGAAACGGTATGAAATCGACCAACTTTTTCGGCTGTACTATAACCCTATGTATACTAAGATCGAAAATAGTGTGAGGATATGGTAAAAAGATTATAGACCAAAAGATGGTAACAGTGTACTGTAGTCAATTCGGCTACGCTTTGTTTAAAACTTGGTCACAGAGAATTTGGCCCCTCTCGTTCCTGCCTAGTACTGGCTGCGGTATATTTAGATCATCAGCTGCCTGAAAAGGCTGCTTTCATTGCCAACAATTTTCAAAATCTCCTACTTCTTGGTATGACATTTTGTGCGGAATGATCTGCGAGTGCTGATTAATTGATCTAGGAGTTCGAACGTTTTCGCTCTGATCTAGCGAATTTTTCGTATTATTGGGTTTCCGCATCTTTCTGCTATTCATCAAGTCGGACTCCGAATTCCTGCCTGTTTCTCAGATATATGAGGTTTTGCATACGCACTCTGCGATATTCTCTTTTGGTGCTTATCCTTACGATAGTACTAGGATATTTGAGAGAGTCATGTAAGGTTTCGTGGCTGTTGCGATACTATGACCACGGTAAATACTCTGAATGGTGTCTGACAGACCTTATATCTAAGGAACGAATACATGCCCTTTCGTGTTATTCTTATTTTTTTTCCCTCGTTTTGTTCTTTTCTGCTTTTATCAAATTCCTTGTTAACTTCCTTGTTAACTCACATGTTTTCATGGCGCTATGGGTTTAGTTTTGTTCTGGCTTCTTGTCATGTTCTTCTATGACAATCGTTTCACATCTGTTGAGCAAGGTTCGTACAACCCCCAATTTCTGGTGTTAGGGGTAGTCGATCGGAAGTTGAGGTTTTTGTCTGTGTGCTTTTTTTCATTTGACCAATGCTTTGATAGTATCGTCATCTTTCGTCATTAGGAGGATGTCCATCAATGTCATAGTGTCGCCGATTTCTTACTTACAGATGCATTTGATGTTGTCGAGGGTATCAGTCAAATCCCTCTGGGATCCCATATTTTACTATTTCCAATATGTCATCAAGATACCGCTGGCATTTTTTCTGCTGAAGGTGAATCTTCTACTGGTTGTATTATAGAAACCTCTATTCTATTACCTTCTAAAACGAAATATTCCGAAATTCTATATTCGTAATGATGCACTACTTTGTCGTTTTCTGTTTTCATTTTTTACTTTTTGTTTGTTTCTGGTTTTCCTTTTTATTATTCATTTTCTCTCTAAAAATCATGGCAACACTCAAACAAATGGTATATTCACATACTATAATTCCACCTACGTGTAGCTCTACGCAACGAGATAAATATCAAATATGTCATTGTCCGTATTAATGTTTGAGACATCTGTATTAATTGAAGAAATTAGAGAATGGTCACAAAACTCAAAACAGAGAAAGAGGTCATAATTTTGCTTTCCATTATTTTTCCATTTTTTCATCATTCATTTGATGCTATACAAGTGTATATATTGTTAGATACATCACAAGACAGCTGAGAGAAAGATTGAGTTTAACAAAATCAAGATTATCTCAAATCGTATTGGTATGAGACTAAGATCACGATCGGCTATAAGATAAGCTAATACAAAGAATAATTAGTCGTTTAGTCAATAAAAAACAGCATCACTTTCTACAAGAAACAATGGACTTTTGTGATTTCTTCACAAACTGCTAATGCCATATAATAGAAACACATACATCAGCTCGAGTTAGTGGTAAAAGTATAATGCTTTGTATGTCTTGTTCACTTCTTAAGAATGTCATCAACTATAGCCACATGATTTCGTTAATCTAACACTGAGACAGATATCTCCTAGTCCAGTATCGTAGGACTGTAAATTCATCTGTAACTACATAGCTGTAGTCGTAGTGCAGGTAAATCCAGAACTAGATACTGGACTCATTATTACGTCGTTACGTATTACAACTTGATCTTGGTTTCTTCTGTAATGTAGCAAACTTATAACGAACGGTAATTTTTTTTTACAGCAATCCAACAAATAAATCAACAATGAGTAATACTAAATCTATGTAGCAGAAAGTAGGGTTTATGAAATTGTACAAGAGATACACAAGCGAACAGCACATTTTAATAGAGGTAGATACAGTAGAGTAAAACTATGAATCACGTTCTGCATGATACAGTTGTTTAAGAAATGTGTGTAAATAAACAAATAAGTTGATAAGCCCAGACCTAACTGGCGTTTTATTTTGTGACTGCACATTACAATATATCTTGTCTCAAGGTGTTGTGAAGAAAATATCTGTTGGAGAAATAGAGATAAAGACAGGAAACAAACCTTCTACTTGAGTATGGTTATCAATATCATACCCATTTCACCCTCCAACCACAGTCTTTTTTCAAGGAAATATTATGATTTCCGCTGTGATAAGTAGATGATTTGTTAGTCGTCCCAGCAGCATATGACTAGGACAAACATTTTTGAGCATAAGTTCTCTCTACTTGTCAGACGTTCACGTGTAAACGTTTCCTTTACTCATGATTCTCCCGTGACAATTTTACAGCTTTATTTCGGTTATGTCTATAAACCCATTTCAGACATATTTCTTAACATTGACTTTTAAAAAAAATCAAGAAGTTAACAAGAGACTGTATTTGACAGAATACATTCTTGAACACCAGTGAAATCAGGAAAATGTACTGAATTTGCAGGTTCATCCTCGGATCTACCTCACTATACACCTGGAACATGCCCAGAGTACACAACTTGAACACCTTGACATACTGGCACAGATGTACCAACATCGTTACATTCCACAATCTCTACCTTAGTCCTAAATATCACCATATACATGTACCTTGCTTTATATAAAAGGAGGCAGCAGTCAGTGCCTACGTATAACACCTGACAGAAGAGCGACGAAAGGTGAGTAAAACCTAAGCAAATGAAATACATCTTAAGGTTTCTCATCTTCAATCTAAATACACTAGGTTTTGTGACGACTTTTGTCAATACGTGGGTATTTAGACATTTGTACAGATTCTATATTTGATTTCTGGTGCATTTATATATATAGATGAAGCTTCTCGGTGTTTGCCTAGTTTTCGCGATTCTGAACGCTGCATTGTGTATCCAACAAGCCAAAATAACCAGCTTACAGCCGCATGGAATTAGGTTTGAAATTCCAGGTAAGTACGAAGTCGGTTTTTGGGGGAGTTGTAGACGGTTTGAACCACTGTTGTCAGCAAGCTATTTTTGAGAAAATAGAAAACGTTAAATCATGCAAATAATCGGTCATGGAATGTTACAATATATAAAAATCGACTAGAGACAATAAAAGTCTGACATGTGGTCAATTCGGAGTAAACGATAGTGTTTCTACGTGGTATCTAAATAACATTAAATATTAATTGTAAACAAAAGGACCTTTAGAAAGACCATCACCACTACATTAACCTTTAATTAAATGTTATGTATCGCAGTGGCAGTGATGTTCACTCGTTCTCATATATATTTTAGCGCCAATATTCACTCTACACTAAGACTGGATGGATCAGAAAGGCCTGAAAACGTTTAACATCATTTTGAATGAGACATTACTTCTGTACGTAATCCTTTATCATGACGTTGATGACGGAATTAAGCTAAAACAAGTTGTGACTTTGTTACAGATGAAGGGTTTAGTTTTGTCGGTCTTCACTACAGTGTGAATAAGCCTGTTGCCGGGGTAGCTGCAGGGGACATCAACGTCGATATAAGATCTAAAATCGGTAAGTTTGTGACATCAATGTCGATATTAGATTTAAAACCGGTAAGTTTGTGACAACAACGTCGATATTAGATCTAAAACCGGTAAGTTTGTGACAACAACGTCAATATTAGATCTAAAACCGGTATGTGTACGCCGATAACCCGTGAATTGGCTACACAAGAACCCACTTACTTGAGATTTTGTGTAATAAGCTTTTCCAATGCCAATTGATTAAAAACATGTTTTTCGGTTCGTTAGGGCCTTGTATCTTTTTTTTGGTTTCTGTACAGTATCTCAAATTCTGTTGGGCCAATGGTACTCATACTTTATGCTAAGCCTCCTGGAAGGAAGTGCTTGCTTGGGGTATGTAACTTTTTGTCAAGGGCAAAGGTCACGGTTACTGTTACTATCAATAAAAATCAGTTTCAATGTCATAACTTAATGTTTTACAGTGCAATCAAACTCAAACTTGGTTCAATTTCAAAAATGGCTTACATTGGATTGCTTACAAGTCCAAGGGTTAACGGTCCAGATTACTGCTACTCTAAGTAGACAATTTTCTTCCGTGATATTACTAAGGTTCCCTTGGGACGATCAAATTTAAACTTCATACGATGCTTTCGTACTGACAGTACTGGCGAGGTATTACTTTTAGACACAGAGGTCAAAGGTTGAGGTTTTTGTTGTTATAATGGAAAATCCATTTTGTGGAATTACTCAAGTTTGCTGTAGCCAATCTAACTTGATGCAACGCTTCTTAACCAAAAGTGCTTGTTTTAGATAGATTGCCATTCAGGTACAAAGGTCAAAGTAACTATTAGTTAAAATCAGTTTCTGTGTGATAACTTGAGTTTCCCTCGCTCAATTTAAATCAAACTTCATTTGATGCCGGAGATATTGCATTTTGAATCCCGAAGTTCAGCTGTCAAGTGTCAATGTCACTGTTAGTTTAAATAAAACAACCAGATTGTTGAATGTATTTGTTAGTATGTTTTTTTCACAACAGTCTTTCTTGACTTTTTGTGGCAGAGTGTACTTATGGTCTCGCCAGTTATCAATCAGTCAGAGATTGGTGTGTCTACTAAGAGTTGGTTGGTGGGTGGGTGGAATTCCATCCACATAGCGGGGCCCTTGATGACCTGTCAGTGTTCAAGTTCATAAAGAAAAAAATAAGTTTACTTTAAATGTTCGCTGGGAGAATGCGGTATTGTATGTGTTATTTATATTGATTCGTATACTAACGTACTTCCGTTTCATTTTGAACTTGAAACGGTCACAGTTTAATATATCTTCATTTGTCTTAAAACCAATTACAGACTGAAATATCAGCAATCTGCCTAATAGTTTATTATAGAATTACATATTGACAGCATAATACCAATAATAATTGATATACTAGTTTAGATTTTACGTTACAGGGGACAACTTTGTATACGAACACACGACTGAGGATCTACATCCTGGAGACACTATCAATTACTGGGTCCTTGGTCTGAAAAACGGACGGGGAGAGCAGCTGACAGGGCTGTCTTATACAATACCAGGTACGGGTAAGGAGAACAGCTGATAGGGACGTCTTATACGTGTAAACTCCTTTACTTACGTGTAAACTTCTTTATATAGGTGTAAACTCCTTTATATACGTGTAAACTCCTTTATATATACGTGTAAATTCCTTTATATGCGTGTAAACTCCTTTATATACCTGTAAACTCATATGTGAAGTGTAATTGTCTTGCCGAAATAAGGAGAGGAGCAATGCATTTAAGTACAGCCCTGCGAAAACGAGGAAGGGAAACAAGATGTCTATTATTAAAAATATTTAAGGTTTTAGATACTATGTAGTAGGGGAGATAACTTACTGTTCGTACCAGAAACTTGCAAGAGAGGCAACCTTTCTTCAATGCTGTATCTGTATGTTTTCAACACAGAGTTCTTGCGGACAAGAATGTAATGCATTGAGGAAGGGGAATACATGTTATTTATTGTTGCTTGAGACCATTAACTCAAGCGCTGAAGGACTCAGTTGTGGCACTTTTGACGGTATTCTCGCGAGTTCCAGGCGATCAATTACAGGGGAGTTCTTATCTTCTTCTATTTTTACATCTGGAAGTTTGTATATCCTATTAGGGTTATATGTTTTGTCTATTATATTGCTATAGGAGAAACATATGAATTTTATCGGTAGCAATATTTGTTGTCATGAAGTTTGATTTGGGCAGTGATGGTAATGAGTCAGGCCCAGCTCCTTCAACATGTTTGTTCCACAATCCTTTTCTCTGCGCCTGTAGTTGCCAGTTATGAAGCGTACAGCCTTGTGTTGGACTCTCTCTTGGGTTGTTATACCGTATTGGCAATATGGCCCCAAACGACTCATATAAACTATGTTTACTCCTGTCCTAACTTGACCAAACAATGTAGAGATATGCAGGCAAGAATGCAGTGCTTCAGGTTAAAGATAATGAAGTTCGGGAAACAATGAGCCCTTTTTGACATTCTTTGTACTTCAAGTTTTCATAGATGAAAAATTAAAAAAAAAGTTTGCTTGAGAATCTGATCACTGAGAAGAAAGGTTTCTTACTCTTAAGGGAAATAACAGTACATTTCTTCCGGTTGAACTTAAGGCTGTTATCCAATGTACCAAAGTTGTTGAGATCATTCTGGAGTTGCCATGTGTCTCACAGATGTAATATCTCAGTATATCATCTGTAAAGAGGCGAACTTGTGATGTGATTCGCCAGGCAAGTCGTTTATATAGCAGAGAAACAATAATGGCCCAATTATCGTTCCTTGGGATATTCCAGGGCGCGCTTGTGCGAGGGCTGAATGCGATTTGTACTATAAGATACGGATAAACTATATGCTGTATTGTTTAAAAAAAATCGTATATTATATATGTATTGTTATAATGTAAAACAGACAGATAGTATTGACATTTTGCAGTTCTATTGAAACATATTTTATCCAACGTAAAGCTCCAACTCCCAAACCAACGACAAGACCACCTACAACCACGACGACAACTTTAAAACCAACACCTGCTGTTTCCGGAACTGATTTACATTCATCAGGAACCGGTAGTGGATCTTCAACTGGCGGCTCTTTTTCCACTGACACATCCTCGGGGATAAGTAAACATGACCTCGACTATATAAACAGTCTTTCTGGTCAGACAGGATCCGGAACTAATACTGGTACAAGTGGCGTTCAGAATACAGGAAGTGCAGGTACCGGAAGTTCAACTGGACAGGGAACAACTTCAGGAACAGGAGGATGTTCATGTCAATGTAAGTCAACTTCCTGTTTACCGTTTTACAGTTCCGTGTATAATAACTATAGCTTTCCATAACACTGGTGATATTATACAAGTATGCACGGATGTTACCGATGTGAAGCGATATCCTAATATAATCATCGTTAGCAGTGCAAAGTTTGAACGTGTTTTTATCTGTCTTTATAATACTGACAGAAGAGTAAAAAGCAAGACTATTTTCGGTAGAGGGAATTCCGTTAACAATACAACCATTTTATCGAAACGGTTGATTTCTGTGACTAGACTATATGCTTCTACAAATTAACAGGTCGGTCTGAAACTCATCTACATGACGGATATGTAATTTATCAGCTCGGAAAGATATAAAACTCGCAACATCAAAAATAAAAAATACAATGTCTTTTACTCACAGTCTTAATATGATTCGTATTTCTATCATGAGGACCGTCGCGGTTTCTATTACAAGTTGCAGGTTCCGGAAGTGGTCGAGCAATTCCCAACTGCCAAAGCTATCCATGTTTGATATTTGAAGATAATTTCGACACGCTGGACATGGACACGTGGGAACACGAGATTACTGCCTCAGGTGGAGGGGTTGGTATAAAGCCTCTTTTATAAATATCAAGCAGTGATCTGATAACTTACAAAACTTATAAACGCATAAAAACTATACATTTTTGCCGTATTGAATGACATATACGATGTTACATCATCATCATCATCATCATCATCACCATCATCATCACCATCATCATCATCATCATCATCATCATCATCATCATCATTTTCATCTTTCTTTTCTTACTCCTTGTCAGAACTGGGAGTTCCAGTATTACCTCAACAACAGATCCAATAGTTACGTCAAGGACGGAGTGCTGTACATCAAGCCGGTACGTAGTTATGACGTCACCTCACATTCACGAGGTCACTACAGCCAACTGTTAGATGAAAAACGTCATTAACACGAAACTTTAAGATAACCAGATAGTGGGTGGGAAAAATCACCACAAAAGAACGAGGTGTTACAAGATTTAACTTGTAAGTTAAAAATCACAACACGATCTATACATCACAAAGATGGGTAATAATATTACTACATACGCACTACATTTTTGCACGTCATAAGTCAATGACGTTACAAAGATCGGCAAACTGGCACCTGGAAAAGTAAACGTGATACTACATGTGGACGACGTTTTGCAAGCTATCATACTCTTAACTAACTACGTCACTTCACGTGCTGAGCAAGCTGTCACTGAGATTGGTAATAATGGCTGTATCATAACCATCTAATCTAGTAGATAACCCTCTAACTGGGTAACACTGTGTTTATCCCACAGGGGAGTTGTTATGTTATTTTTAGGAGAGTAATACTTACATCTCAATTAAATAAAAAAAAAAGTGATTTACTGATTCAAGTCGTATCTCTAATCATCTTTTTCCTGGTATGTTTAACTTTTCCTGTCTTCCTTTATCATAAAGTTTAAGACGGATCTGTTTTGGTGTGACGTGATTTAATGAACGAATCTAAAGATTCTTAAATGCAATTCAGTCGATGAGTTTAATACTGAAATCAAATGGAAACGAATGGAAGATATGATTTATCCCATGATCGATTACTCAGGTACAAATGGTATAAAATGGACATTTCCACGTCAAACCGTAAGGTCAACTAGACTGTTTATCTTTGGTTTCCATGTTTACATCACCATGTGATCTGAGAGTATGTGACGTCATTTCAATAGGTCCTGTTACACACGTGTAATACGTAAAAATATTACATGTGTATATTAAACTATATAAAGAGGCAATCACGTGATAAAGCTAGATTCACATTACAGACTCTTACCACGGATCGTTTTGGGCCAGATTTCCTGACAACAGGCACACTGGATTTGTGGGGTAAGCATTGCCATAGCTGTAGTAGTCACCTAGGTGACAGGTCGAATGAAGCTCATTTGTTGTTACATTTCATATGTAAAATATCAATTAAGAAATTAAACAATATATAAGAATCGGGATAGAAATTATTAACAATGAATTGAAGATCAAAGAATATAATACAGAAAAGGATATTAATAACTTGACTTTTATCATAACTTTGTAGATTTCCTAAACTTTCAAATGTTTTATGTACAATGTGACACTAATCAAAATTTACGAAACATATTTTCATTTTCCGGATTAATTGTCGACGTCCCAAATATGTGTTGTGTTTCGATGTATCTACAAATTTTAATGCCAATAGATGGTCAAACGGGTAATGAATGGTCTGATCACTACCAATTCTGCTGCGAGGGAAATATAGATAATCGTACACATTCCTTGTATTGTGCAGGCGGTACTCCTGGGGACACGTGCACGAGTAATCAGTTTTACGGGTGTAAACGTGTTGGGAACGGTGCACACCCTATCAACCCTATACAGTCAGCAAAGCTCCGAAGCTCGAGAGGGTTCAATTTCAAATATGGAAAGATTGAAATTGAAGCAAAAATGCCACTAGGAGACTGGATATGGCCAGGTAAGTAAATAAATAAAGTAATTAAGACAGGTAAAACAGATATGATGAACACCTTGTACAATAGTGAATACAAAATTTAATAACAATTTGTTATCGTTATGTTTTGAAGTTTTGAAACCGGTAAAAATCCACGAAATTACGAAGTAAGAACGCAGTAAAGACTAAGTGGAGCGGTTAATATCTATTTCAGCAATATGGATGTTGCCACTAAGGAATGCCTATGGCCAATGGCCTGCGTCAGGAGAAATCGACATTGTAGAGAGCCGAGGTAAGAAGCAATCAGTGTATGGCTATTATTCTAAAATTTCATTTTCAAATACAGCACTTATTTGATCTTTACACCGGACCCGCTAAATCCTTATTGGTGCATGTAACATCACAATATCGGTTAGAAATAAATAGTTATGTTTGTAATCATTTAAAGGAAATATAACCACACGGCTCTTCATGTCATTTTTTGTCTTCTCTTTTTCTTAACCTGGGGAAGTGTTAAGTTTTCCTCCATCACATCCGTGCCAGAATATCGATGTTTAACCTATATGGATGTCATACGGAACCATATATTCCGAATGGACCAGAACAAGATACTTAAGTACATGTAGCCTAACGACTGCTATCTCATTCCAACACTACAAGTTTATACCATTTTTCAATATTCTCAAAGGCCTCTTTTTTATAAGGCACTTCTCCTTATGTTTCGCCGTGAAGGAAGTTTTTTCCAGTGCCCGACGGATATGCACGAATATCAATTTTCTTCGACCTTGTCTTCGAATGGAATGCGTTCACATCTTCAGATCCCCGTACAATTTTCCTTTCCTTTTTTTTTTCTTTTTTTTTTCTAACAATAAAAATATAGCCTATAAAATCATGTTGTTGATCTTTGAAACACGAAAGCTACGAAACAAGAAAACCCGAGGTTACGGAAGCCCAGCTGGATTTCTTTACCTTTAAACACATATCCAGTTGATAATTGCTTCACTAAATGTATAAGGTTTTATTTCGTTTATTAATCGTTATTGGTTTTTAAATATTTCTCCAATGCATGTTTTTTTCTGTGACAATTTTGTTTTCCTGTTTTTGTACCCTTTGTTTTCGTGGTAAGAACAACTCTACAGAGCTACAGTTGTTTTAAACCCCGACGCTAAATAAAGGTTCTTGTATCCCAGATTCTGAATAGCCCATGCAGTCTATACATTTATCTAAACCTTGATCCAACACACGGTCATTTGTCTAATGATTTAAGAAACTGGGAGACGTTGACTTACGATCGAAACCGTATTGCAATGTAGAAATCGAAATGGTTTCCATTTATTTACATACAATGGTACAAGATCGCCTCCGTCACTTGGTTTTACACAGACACAAGTGTATATTCGTGAAATTTGTTTCTGTAACTTCTCTTCCTTACAAATGATTGTCTACATATCTAGTTTAACATCACTGCTTTTGTTGTCATAGCAAAACTTTATCACCTATGTTATACTGTTCAGATTCAATTACTGAGAACTGCCCTTTTCTTCTTCTAATTCTATTTTGTGTTTGGTTTAGTATTTTTCAGCTGCAGCAGGGTTGTCAATGTTTAACCCTAATAGAAAGTGAATTGGTTTTATTTGTTAGTTTATGACTTATTTTAGAACAACAAATTTCATAAAGAACGCATATTACGTTTTTTTAACATATCAGTCGATCAACAAAGATCACAGTGAAATGACATCTTATTACTGAATCTATTGATTTTCTCAGGAAATCGTCACTACACTGCTTCTGATGGTACCCACAAAGGCGCAGACTCCTTCGGAAGTACTCTACATTTCGGACCCAGTATTCTGGATAAATCTTACGACCCATGGCAGACGGCACACGTTGAAAAGTACTGTTGTCCTAATTTGCACGCGCTAAATTGAATTATCTGTTATATGTTGTTTTGTGCTTGACAAAGTTGGAAACACTCAAATAGATATTGCAGGTGGTTATTTTTTTCAAAAATAAGACTTTTATGTAACAATCGTTTTCGATATTGTAGAACTCTGCCACAGGGAACCCTTGCTGACGACTTTCACAAATATGGAGTAGAATGGACCGAAGACCACATTAAGTAATTAGTTTATTTTTCATCTATTTATTTTTTTTGTAATATTGAGTAATACTGCAATAGTCGCATCAGTGGAACACATACATTATACTTTTAAAACGTAATCTGCCTGGTGTCCAGTAAATTAGCAATTGTAATATTTGAGCGTATATGTCTCTAGTGTGATATACCCTCGACGTTGAGTCATTGGCTGCACCACTCACAAATCAATTGTGATGTCTTTATATAGACAATGACGTAAACGAAAGTGTTGCAACAAAATGGCTGCGTCCGTTTGATTTTGTCCTCAACATGTTTACTTAAAAACCTGTCAAAGTTAGCTTTTCCGTGTTGTTTGATATAAAATATCTTAAATTTGTTTTCGTTTTGCATGACATTTTATGAGTTGTCTCGAAAGTTATGTTTTTGCTCGCAATGGTTCACAAAAATTATAATATTTTAAGATTCGTTTCCTGAAATCCTATGCATAAATCCTATATATAAAGTTGTGTTTGTGTAGGTTCTTGTTCGATGATCAGGAGACATTAACCGTCACTCCACCTGCCCAGGGTGGTTTTTGGAAACATGGAAATCTCGACAAATCAGGGTTTGAAAATCCTTACCGAAATGCCAGTAAAATAGCCCCGTTTGACCAACAGGTATGTAATAAACACTTTATTCTAGTGGTTACTCATTAAAAGACCTTAAAGTTATGTCATGATATTATCAAGGTTTCACAAATAATGGGTGCTTGTAGATAGAAATATTTCCATAAATATTCTTAGGACTTTTACATGTTACAAGATATTATGTGGCCGAGAATATCAGTATAAAGTTAAGATAAGGAGAGGTTTAACCTAGAGTTTCCTCCCCTAGATCCAGTGTCTAGTCACTACTTCCATATCGTTTTTATTCTGTTTGTATATTATTCTATTTTATCTATTTATTTATTTACCTTATTTTCTATCGGGTTAATTAATAAAAGTAAGTAATTTACAAAGTACAAAGAAGTCAGTACAATATAAATAAGATTTGATGGCACTCTTAATAAGCTACGAAACATATTACTATATATCCTTGATAGTAAATTACACCAGAAACCATGAAAATGTCGCGACCTGTTTGATACCTTTAGGAACGATACATACTTTTGGGTATAGCTGGTGCATATTTGAGACTATCCAAAATGCCCGTTTATTTAGCGTAGGGGTTGACATAAAATATGTTGATATTATGTTAGAGCTGAACGTTTACCTGATAAGGAAGCGTTTTCCTGTCACGTGACTTAAAATTTGAAATACATAATCATACATGATAAATGATGAAGAAATCTAGATATAAGGTTAGTACTGCAATTTCGCATGTTAAGTAACACTCGTGTTTTGAGACTTACGCCTTCAAAGGGTCAAAGTTCATACGTTTATCATGATAGATACTGAATAAGACTAAGGAAATAATGAGTAAGTAAAACGTTAATTTACTTAATTTTGATGAAGAATATAACGTAAATGTGTGACATTCCTAACGTGGAGACTACCACACTCTGTTTCATTTTCTAGTTTTACCTGATCATGAACGTTGCTGTGGGAGGCGTCGGCTTTTTTGATGATAAATTAATCAACTCCCCCACTCCAAAACCCTGGCGTGATGACAATGAATTCACCACCCGTGACTTCATCAACGCTAAAACCCAGTGGTACCCCACCTGGAACCCAACAGACCGGAACGGCGAGGACGCCGCCATGAAAGTTAACTACGTCAAGGTGTGGAAACTCAGTCCATGATGGTCAACTATGTCTAGATGTGGAAACCATGATGGGAAACATGCCCTAACTTGGTACATTTTTGTGTTTTGGTCGTTTCTTTTACTAGTGACAAAACATATATTATCCAAATAAAGATACATTTCTAAATAAACACTTTGTGTTGGTATTGCGCTGTTAACATTGCGTTGTTGGTATTGCGCTGTTGGCATTGCGCTGTTGACATTACGCTGTTGGTATTGCGCTGTTGGTATTGCACTGTTAACATTGCGCTGTTGGCATTGCGCTGTTGGCATTGCGCTGTTAACATTGCGCTGTTGGCATTGCGCTGTTGGTATTGCGCTGTTAACATTGCGCTGTTGGCATTGCGCTGTTGGTATTGCGCTGTTGGTATTGCGCTGTTGACATTGCGCTGTTGGTATTGCGCTGTTGACATTGCGCTGTTGGCATTGCGCTGTTGGCATTGCGCTGTTGGTATTGCGCTCTGTAATTCAAACAGGACGTCTGGTATTGTGACGTATACCTTTGTAAAATACGTTAAGATATAATCACGACAAGTTAAAAAGCCTTGCATGATGAACTCTTACACGTGTGTCTATTTTAAATGTTGTTGAATATTGTTATACATATCTAGGTCTTCTTTCTTGTGTGATCGATGGAATTTAATAAATAAGAAGTTTTAATTCAGCAAACATGTTGTGTGAAATGGAAGTGATTTTTGAATTATTTGATCATGCAAGTTAGCAGTTTTTGCAAAAGCCTTTCCCTGAAAAAATCTTTAATATATCTTCTCCATAATAATGCTTTCATAAAACCAGCGTGACGCGATTTCAATATCCTCCGTCATATAAAAGGCACTTAAGCTTGGATATGACAAGGGAGTATTTGTTAACGAAAGGAAATCACGTGACAAAACTAAAAATAAAACAATTACACGCTTTTTAGATTCAGTCTTTAGTCATGGTCACGTCGCGTTAAACTCTGTTCTTTCAGTTCACGGAACCGTTATTTATAAATGAAGACATTGAAGTACAAGGTGCTTTTCTTGTTTCAACAAATTAAATATAGTTGTAAAGATTAAAATCTGAAGCAATGCTATATTTTTTTCGTCAATATTTACCCCTGGCACCGTAGATAGGAAGCACATAGTATTTTATATGAATTTTATAGAAAAAAACTAGGATCCAATGTAAGTCATAGGTTTACCAAATTGTGCTTAAACCTAAAGATTTATGTTTGGAGATAGCCAATAAAATACACATACATTATGTATTATGTAACAGATGTAACGAATTCTAGCCGCTGACAAGTAAATGAGTTCAGAAACTTTCAATTTAGCCACTGGACAATGGTCATTTCCATTTCATTTATTTTTCCGTATTTACCATATACATTGTCCAATAGGAAAAAACAATAACGGAGATGTACGAGAAGTGTCTAATTAAAATTTACTTCTCTCTGGACATACCATATCAGCTAATTGATTATTTCTATTTCAAATGACATTTTACCACATGGAAGTGTAAGATAACGACGTAAATGTGTAAAGTGATAACAGTGTCTGCTGAACCAATGCATGCTATTTAAACACAAACTGAAATGTGAACGTAATGCTGTTGAAGCGTGAATTTCAATTCAGCTTCAGAATCATTCCTAGATATGGCACATGAATCTATTAAAACTTTATAGAATTGACGTCATTCCTCGTTTTCTTGACACCAGATTTCTAGTAATGAAAACAAGAGGCCCATAGGGTTCACCTGACTTTATGTTATCCTAACTAAAGGTAAAGAAATATGAATTCCCAAGCACAAAACACACTATATCTCCATAGGTCGTTACCCCTCAGTCCTCACTGGGTCAGCCAAACAACTGAACCTAGTAAGGTTCATACCAAACTGCGATGGACAGAATTCCAACAGAAGATTTTCGAGGAATTTGCTCTATTTCCAATCGAAAGGGTCCTGCCCCTCCAATCGCAAGGGGCCTAGACCCATCATTTATTAACAAAAACTGATTTCAATTTACTCGAGGATGCGCCAGACTTAATCCGGGCAAAATGCAATCGTTCCTACAGAAGGATTATGACTCTAAATAACTTGCTCTTTTCTACCTCCGAACCCTAGAGACCAAACCCTCCCAACGCTTCTTAACAAATTTGAGCAAAATACAATGACTCCCTTAGGAGGAGTAGAATTTCAAAGAATTTGTTCTGTTTAACTTATCAGGTTCAGCCCTACCTGTCCCTGGAGTCGAGACCTACCGTTTATACAAAGCAATTTCCCTTCACCCAAAAAAATTCACGCGCAATTGGTTCAAAATTTAATGATTCCCTCAGGAACATTAGAATTTTAAAGAGTCTGCCTGTTTTTCTATATTTGGTCCAGCCTCTCAGTCCTCATGGGACCGAGATCCGACGTTTATAAAAAAATGCATTCCCCTTCCGCAGGACAACTGCAAGAAAAAAATTTGGGCAAACTGTTTTCTAATGAATATGTAATATTTTCGTAAGAAAATCTCCTATCCATGTCGTCAGATCAGATTCTGTAAACAACTGAAGAATGAAAAGAGACCACAAAGGAGTAACAATATCTAATGATTTATTGTAAAACGTTCAATGATTATGCTGTATGGCGGTACACGTGTAAACTGAACTATATAGAATTGATGATCCTGTTCCTACGCCTTGTTAAACTTCACCACAGCTACAACTGAACCAAAGGCCATTTTCTGAAAAGATACATACAACAATTTTAATGATAACTGCTCTATCAAAAGGGTCAAAGGCGGCTCGTGGACGTATTTGTGTGTATAATGGTTTCCCGTTTAATATAATAGTTATTTCACGAGTATATACAAATATAGATAAATATCACACATATGTTAGACGAGTGAAAGGTTACGATATATTTTGTCATACATATGATATTCAAAAAAAGACAATAATTTTCTTTCATTAAACATGAAAACATGCAATAAGTTGATCTGAACACAAAGCAAATATTTAGGGAAACATTACTATGCTACTTTCGGCAATTTCTCTAGACGAACAAAAAATTCACCGAATTTTAATGTTCGGAATAGAAACCGACGTTCTGATTGGTCAAACCTCAAAAAGGTACATATATCATCAAGAGATATAACTTGTATATAAATTTTAACGCCAGTAATATTATGTATGTCCGCACAAAACTGGAGTTATCTCCCTTCCTTCGTGTAGTTTAATGCCGAAAATCTGTCATTTGTGCATCAAATATTCGTGCACTTCAGAATATACACGTTTACCCGACTTTCTCTTGAAATTGTGTCATATTGAAAAGGTCGCACAAAAGACATACAAGTGAATACCTTTTTGTAGAAATTTAGTTAGATACAGTGGAACCAGACAATGAATTATCATGGATTTGTTTCTTCGTTCTTGGAATTGTAAATGATAATAATGTCATGGAACCTAGGAGGCGACGTTAGAAAATCCTAAGTGATCTCCAAATCTAGACGGTCAGGCATAGAAGCCCCATGATTGACTATTTTCGTTGTTTTCGTATATTTGTTAACTTCATCTGAACCGGACCAGTATTCCAATGATCGACATGCAGGTTACGGAAAGCCTCGGGAACTTAAATTCTGTCACAATTTTTAATAGTGTTGAATTAGAAACAGTAGAGCCAAACAACTGAAATGCAACCTAGAGCTGTTCGTCTTCCTAAAACTTCCTCTAAGTGCTGATAACTGGTGAATGTCATACTTTATTTCATCGGTTGCCACAAATGCATCAATGATGTAGGCCCTTAGCACCATATACGTGTCCTTAATCACTGACGCCTTTGATTTAATTTTCGATCAACATGTGTGCTTATACCTAATACAAAGTAAAGAATAGCTTTTATCCGACCATTGAAGTCATACCACCATAAGAACTGTCCCTCGTTACCTCGCTAAAATATCGACGTCATTTCAACAAGTTGAATACTTACAGAGATAAGTTCATTTCCTGCTACCTCTCTGGTGATAACGACCTTGACATCTCCAGCCGTCTGCACCTCCGTCATTATATCTCCGTCCATACTCACATTGCACTGTAATTACAGATCAACAAACGATGATTTATACAATACGTGGATATATTTATGTCTTTCTTTGAAAATTACATGACAAGTCAATAGTTTCAAACACGCAATGGAGGAAGGCGACATACCCAACCTATTTTTTTTTTTAACATTTTTTACGTCCTATCGATATTTATTGTCGTTTAAGGGCGGGTTTCCTATGTATTCCAGCTAAATGTGTGTGTTTTGTGTGTTTTTTGGGAGACTACGACATGTTCCTGTAAACTGCCCACCTTAAATTGATACTGTAAGGTAGTAAGATACAAACGCTAAACAAGTCTCGAGCTTTCCTGCAAGACACGTGATCTCCTCCGGGGGTTGAATACTCCAGTACTGATGTATGTTTACATTAATGTTGATGGCTTTGTTTGGTAAAATATATGAACAGCAAGTCACAACTAACGAATTCCCTTATTTTCTTATCTTTATCGTACATTCACATATGTTCAAAACTCGAAAAAGGAAAATGCATTAGCTGTATGAGTTTATCCAGTACATACTGGTATAAAAGTGTCCCTAGCATACCCATAAACCCGATGTAATCTGACGACGTAATGATACCTTAAGATCCTGGCCGGTGAGAGACTTGGATTCGAATTCCTCTCCTATCTTAAATGTTGTGTCCTTCACAGTGTCTCCGACAGTAGTTTTTATGGTCCAACTGTCCCCGGATTGGAGAATATCCATGGATGGTTTACTTTTCCTAGCCACCTCCCGGAGAGCCTCAGGGACACCTGGGACAGGAAATAAGAGCCAGTTATATCTTACTTCATTGCATCCTCAAAACAATGTAACTGAAAAAGTCACGAACTGTGTGATAGCTTGTCAGATCACGTACAGCGTGTGTGTATGTGTGTGTGTGTGTGTGTGTGTACGGATGTGTACGTGTGTTTGTGTGTGTGTGTGTGTGTGTGTGTGTGTGTGTGTAGTGGTGTGTGTGTGTGTGTGTGTGTGTGTACATGTGTGTGTGTGTACGTGTGTATGTGTATGTGTGAGGGTGTGTGTACTTGTGTGTGTGTGTACGACTCTGTGTGTGTGTACGTGTGTGTGTGTATGTGTGAGGGTGTGTGTGTGTGTGTGTATGTGTGTGTGTGTGTGTGTGTGTGTGTGTGTGTGTGTGTGTGTGTGTGTGTGTGTGTGTGTGTTTTATACTATAATTTTAAAAAGAGTATATAAAACACAAACAAGTGAACAGCACCTTTAAATACAAATTTAGAGTTAAATGTGGATACAATAGAACTAACAATCATTAAACTGCATCATACAGCTGTTTCGTTCTGCTACGGCTCCTCAGTGGTGCTACATCATACAGCTGTTTCGTCCTTCTACGGCTCCTCAGTGGAGCTACATCATACAGCTGTTTCGTCTTTCTACGGCTCCTCAGTGGAGCTACATCATACAGCTGTTTCGTCCTTCTACGGCTCCTCAGTGGTGCTACATCATTCAGCTGTTTCGTCCTTCTATGACTCGTCAGTGATGCTACATCATACAGCTGTTTCGTCCTTCTACGGCTCCTCAGTGTTGCTACATCATTCAGCTGTTTCGTCCTTCTATGACTCGTCAGTGATGCTACATCATACAGCTGTTTCGTCCTTCTACGGCTCCTCAGTGTTGCTACATCATACAGCTGTTTTGTCCTTCGAGGTCAGTGATACTTAGAGCCTAAAATTGTAGCTTAGGAGACGTATGAGAAAAATCCAAAGTGATCGAAAGAAAAGTCTAAATGTATTCCGGGAGATGCACTAGCACATTTCGTAATGTTTATACATTAGATAGCTTTTAGAACAATATTAAGTATATGTGTATATTCTGAACTGTGTTACTAATCTGCCATAAGCTTCTATGATGGTTAATGAAACATCAGAGAAAAAACCAACAAGAAAACAGAATCTCGATTCCAATTCAAATTCAATCAAACTGTGGCATAATATGGATAAGAGTACTCCTCAACGGTACCGGAAAATAGGACCAGGTATTTCGGAAGGGTAAGTGTCTTCTGATTCATCAACGACACCTACTATGTAAATCTTAAGGTAAACAACAATGGCATCACCATCCATGCAAGCGAGCATCAAACACGCCCAACTCCATGTTGCGGACATTTCCTTATGAAATCAATACGACACCCTTAAATTTTCCCGATAATCATCATCAATCTGCATCTCTCTAAACCCTGTGTTGTGAGTTTGGCTGTCAGTTGCTGACGACTTGTGAAAATCGTGATATTGGGAAAAAGTCCTCGAATATCGAATCACATCGACATGTAAACGCCAGTAGTTGCCGATACACGGAGGTTTCTATCAGGATATGGAAAATTAACAAGAGGGGAATTGAAATAATCACGCTTAAGATAAAGGTTGTCTGAGAGTTGCCCATGTTTGGTTTTGCTGTAAGAAAAGATCGAGATGAGTGACTGATAAAGAAGAATCTGTAGTTTCCTTGATTTCCAATTTTGTTGGGTATATACGATAGAAATGTGTTAATGAAACATTAGAACGCGGATGTAGTGAACATCCTAATTATCCCACAGTCCGAAATTTTGAAAACAACCATACATCCGTTTTTCTTAACGGCTATTCTAAAACACATATTGTATCCTTATAACTTCTTGCGAGCGTTTACAAAGTCAATACTTGTTTCGGTGAGGTAAGGTGGGCGATGGCGTGTGTTTATTTATTTATTTTTTTTGTGTGTGTAATTTTCCTCAGAGATTTTCCTTCGGAAGGAGATCAGACGGTTTTTAATTTGGCATCGCCTTGATTAGGTATACGAGACAACTTGTCATGAGCTGACAAGATATCGATTGTATACACGCGTGAGTTATGTTTCTCTGTGATTATCTACATTGGACAGGTGCTAGTTTACGTCACTCATTCGATAAGTAATTGAATTCCTGCATGATGTTGTAAACGGCTGAGGTATTAATGGTTTTCTATGGGTCTTACTGATAATAAACCCTTCTAAGAGACATTGTTCCCGAAGGCCTTTTTTGAATCAACTCTTATTTCCATCACAGCCTCCGTTGTAAAATCTGGCAAATAATATGCCAGCTGTATATCACAACTCATGTCCTCTCTCCTCTTTATTGGCACTTTGTTTCCGAGGAAAAAAGGCAAAAATTGTAATTATTATTATCTGCTAATCAATGGGAAGCTTGCTTTTTATCTGTGAAACATATGGAGCTCTATTGCTGTGAACAGTGATGTAAGAATAAATGAAATGATGTTTTATGGTTGTTGTGACACGGACCAAAATTACTGCTTTAAAAGGTGTTCTTTATTTGGTATCATTTGTTTGATATTTTGAACTTTCTGGATGGTAAAAAGGACTGTGCTCAAGTTCCACTTCCATGTTGCATAGTAACGGGTACGTCTTAAACTCGAAACACATCGTCTATATTTCCACATTATATCTGTATCATTGAAGACTCCTAGAATAGCTTTGATACCATGACAACAACCATTGAGCTTACACTGTATATATTAATTGTCAATGTGTACCGCTTATACAATATTTCCTCTTTTGCAGCAAGGAGGAGATATTGTGTTATTGTTTCCGCGGTGTCGAAGTGAACAAAGTTATCATTCACCAAACATTTGAGTGAAGAAAACTGCTGTATTGCTGTACTCACTAGCCGTCACACTTGTTTATTTATTTCCTTCAGAACGGGTCCATCGAACACGCATCTTTTAACAACGACACGTGATCGAATGAAATGTATAATTATCCCTTTCCTAGATTTTTATAGGTAGTAATGTTACTGTTAAAAGTTTTACATGTACTACCTCCTACAGTACGTGTACCCCCTACAATATCCCGCTACAGTGTTACCCGTGCTCCAGTATCGCCCCTCAGTAACCCCCTTCCTTAACTCCCTACAGTACATGTACCCGCTACAGTGTCCCGCTACAGTTTCCCCCACCCTACAATATCCCGCTGGAGTGTTACCAGTGCTACACTATCGCCCCCTACAGTAAATGTATCTCCTTCACTATCGCCCTTCAGTAACCCCCTACCTACACTATCTCCCTTCAGGGCATCCCTACAATTTCCCCCGTACAGTCAACCCCTACAATTTCCCCCTTCAGTATTCCCGTACGGTATCACCTTCAGTGCTCCCCAACAATTCCCCCCGTAGTTAACCCCTACAATTTCTCCCTTTCAGTAGTCCCGTACGGTGTCCCCCTTCAGTGCACCCCTACAATTTCCCCCGTACAGTCAACCCCTACAATTTCTCCCTTTCAGTAGTTCCGTACGGTGTCCCCCTTCAGTGCACCCCTACAATTTCCCCCGTACAGTCAACCCCTACAATATCCCCCTTTCAGTATTTCCCTACAGTGCACCTCTACAATCCCCCCTTCAGTATTCCCCTAGAGTATCCCCTACAGTGCACCCCTACAATCCCCCCTTCAGTATTTCCTTAGAGTATCCCCTACAGTGCACTCCTACAATTTCTCCACTACAGTCAACATCTACAGTTTCCCCCTTCAATACACTCCTGCAATTTCCCCTTTCGGTATTCCCCTACGGTATCCCCTTCAGTGCACCCCTACAATTTCCCCCGTACAGTCAACCCCTACAATTCCCCCCTTCAGTATTCCTGTACGGTATCCCCTTCAGTGCACCCCTACAATTTCCCCCGTACAGTCAACCCCTACAATTCCCCCCTTCAGTATTCCTGTACGGTATCCCCTTCAGTGCACCCCAACAACTTCCCCCGTACAGTCAACCCCTACAATTCCCCCCTTCTGTATTCCTGTACGGTATCCCCTTCAGTGCACCCCTACAATTTCCCCCGTACAGTCAACCCCTACAATTTTCCCCTTCAGTATTCCTGTACGGTATCCCCTTCAGTGCACCCCTACAATTCCCCCTTCAGTATTCCCCTATGGGATCCCCCACCCCACCCCAGTGCACCCCTACACTTTTCCCCTTCAGTATCCCCCTACGGTATCCCCCACCCCAGTGCACCCCTACAATTTCCCCCTCCAGTATTCCCCTACGGTATCCCCCTTCAGTGCACCCCTACAATTTCTCCCTTCATTATTCCCCTACGGTATCCCCCTTCAGTGCACCCCTACAATTCTCCTTTAGTGTCAACTCCTACGGTATTCCCCTTATATTAAAAGCGAATCGTACCTACATGTGGACTTAATGAAAATGAACCACCAATTTTGTAGGAACGAGAATGTCGAAAACACGAAAGGTTGTTGAAACTGTGGTCAGTATAGGTTAGTATGTAATCTACGTTTATATATATTCTGTAGAAGAAAAATAAACAATAGTCGACCTCCTGTGAATATAATGCCATTCTACATCTCCCCTGTCTCTGTGAGTATCTCCAGTCGCTCTACACCCCCTGTCTCTGTGAATATCCCCAGTCGCTCTACATCCCCCGTCTCTGTGAGTATCCCAAGTCGCTCTATATGACCCCGTCTCTTTGAGTATCCCCAGTCGCTCTACATGCCCCGTCTCTGTGAGTATCCCCAGTCGCTCTACATCCCCCGTCTCTGTGACTATCCCCAGTCGCTCTACTTGCCTCAAGTCTCTGTGAGTATTCCCAGTCGCTCTACATGACCCCGTCTCTTTGAGTATCCCCAGTCGCTCTACATCCCCCGTCTCTGTGAGTATCACCAGTCGCACTACATCCCCCGTCTCTGTGACTATCCCCAGTCGCTCTACTTGCCTCAAGTCTCTGTGAGTATCCCAAGTCGCTCTATATGACCCCGTCTCT